CCGGATAGAGTCGCGTCGCCCGTGGCTGCGACAGAGGCTGCGGCAGAGGCTGCGGCAGAGCAAGCGGCAGAGGCTGCGGCAGAGCAAGCGGCCACCGCCGACCCCGCCGTCCCCGCCCCCTCCACGGCGCGGGCTCAGGCGGCGCCGACGGCCGTCCCGCGCAAGCGCGGCGGCAAGCAGCAGCAGCCGCAGCAGCAGCAGCAGCAGCAGCAGCAGCCGGGCGGGCGGCGCAAGCCGGGCAAGCCGCGCGGCAGCGAGGGCGGGAGGGTGCGTGGGTGCGTGACGCGCGCGCGGCAGGCGGCGCGGAAGAGGTTCGCCCCGGCGGCCGCCGCCGCCGCCGCTGCCCAGCGCCGGCTCGTTAGCTGGGCGGCGACGCTGGTGGGGAGGCTTGAGGCCGCGGCGGCGGCGTCGGAGCGCGTGCAGTGTGTCCTGTCGCTGCCGTGGTCCTCGGCCCGCCTCCAGTCGGCGGCGGTGGCGGCCGCGGCGGTCGTCTTCGTGGCCGTCGCCGCCGTGTTCGGCTCCCCGCCTAACGCCGACCGCCCCGGCGGCATCGCCGCCGCCGCTCTCCCCCCCGGCAGCGGCGGCGCGGCTGGCGGCGGGGGCGGCGCGCCTCTTGTGCTGCTGTGGCTTGAGCTGCTCCTGGGTGCTGCGTTTGTGGCGCGGCTTGAGCGGGTGGGCGGCGTGCTGGCGCGGCTGTGCAGTCCGGCGCCGCGCGACCGCGCGACCGCCGCCGGCCGCTGACGCGCGGCTAGGGCGTCGGGGGAGGTGGTCGGGCGGCACAACGGGGCGCCAAGCGCTGCCTGGCCTTTACCCCTCCCCCTCCCGCCCACCCCACCCCCCTCTTCCCCCTTTTTGGAGATAGACGATGGCAGCCCAGGCCGCCCATGCCGGCAGCCTCTCTGCCCCCGGCCCGCAGTAGGGTGGGTTCCTTCCCCCCCCCTCCCCCCCCTCCCCCCCTCCCTCCCCCCCCCCCCCCTTTCGATGCGCATGCTGCGGCGACAATACCCACTCCATGTGTACACGCATGGATGACGTGGCTGTGTGCAGTGCCGCGCCCCGCGACGCGACCCCGCCCGTGATGATGCTGCGTCTGCCTCGTCTCGGCTCTAGCGCGCCCCTGTCGGCCTGTGCCCTGGGGGGGAGGCGTCACAGCCACGGACTAGCGCACTTGGCGATCGTTTTTTATCTCGCAGGCTAGAAAAATCAAGAGCCTCTGTCTCTTGGCCACTCTCTAATTTGGCTGGGGTTCCAACTTCCATTTCACAAGTGCGGGCACAGCCCGCGTGACACAACACACAATCTATT